ATTGTCCGTAGAGCTCCGAGACAGGATTGTGTCAAGGCACAGATCTGGGGAAGGGTACCAAAAAATGTCTGCAGCATTGAAGGTCCCCAAGAACACAGTTGGCTCCATCATTCTTAAATGGAAGAAGTTTGGAACCACCAAGACTCTTCCTAGAGCTGGCCGCCCGGCCAAACTGAGCAATCGGGGGAGAAGGCCCTTGGTCAGGTAGGTGACCAAGAACCCGATGGTCACTCTGACAGAGCTCCAGAGTTCCTCTGTGGAGATGGGATAACCTTCCAGAAGGACAACCATCTCTGCAGCACTCCACCAATTAGACCTTTTATGGTAGAGTGGCCAGATGGAAGCCACTCCTCAGTAAAAGGCACATGACAGCCCACTTGGAGTTTGCCAAAAGGCACCTAAAGACTCTCAGACCATGAGAAACAAGATTAACTGGTCTGATGAAACAAAGATTGAACTCTTTGGCCTGAATGCCAAGCATCACATCTGTCGGAAACCTGGCACCATCCCTACGGTGAAGCATGGTGGTGGCAGCATCATGCTGTGGGGATGTTTTTCAGCGGCAGGGACTGGGAGACTAGTCAGGATCAAGGCAAAGATGGACGGAGCAAAGTACAGAGAGATCCTTGATGAAAACCTGCTCCAGAGCGCTCAGGACCTCAGACTGGGGTGAAGATTCACCTTCTAACAGGACAACGACCATAAGCACACAGCCAAGACAATGCAGGAGTGGCTTCGGGACAAGTCTCTGAATGTCCTTGAGTGGCCCAGCCAGAGCCCGGACTTGAATCCGATTTTTATATCTCTGGAGAGACCTGAAAATAGCTGTGCAGCGACGCTCCCCATCTATACTGACAGAGCTTGAGAGGATCTGCACAGAAGAATGGAAGATACTCCCCAAATACAGGTGTGCCAAGCTTGTAGTGTCATAGCCAAGAAGACTCGATGCTGTAATCTCTGCCAAACGGTCTGAATTCTTTCTGAAGGCACTGTATATCCAACCCAACTCCATTTGTTTCCACTTATGTATCCCAGTGGCTTTCTAACTTTTTGACCTGCGACCCCCATAAAGGAGTGGTACCAAGCTTGCGCCCACCACGCACATGCGCACGTGTGACACATGCAAATATTAATATGCATGCACAATCGCTGTGCAAATGTAGCCTATAATTACAGGCATAAACAGTGATGCATTTTCAAAACGCAAGATAGGCTACAGCTATAAACTGTGTTTTTTACACCTGCATTTGGAGTTCAGTCATTTATCTTAGCAGCCCATATCAACTACGGATAGGCCTATATCATGTCACTTCTCTGAAGTCCAGAGCAATCACACTGGCTACTTGTAGCGGAGGTTGCAGGATCTGCACCGAGCCATCACTTTGGAGGGCAGCCAGAATGCTCATTGCCAGCCGGGTAGCCTTGTTCTCATTCACAAACACATTTGCCAGAATATGTTACATATTCATCCCATAATATTGAAGGTAGTGCGATTTAACAGCTGCTTTTCTTTATACATGTAACAACCAAACTAGGCATATCTGAAATATGAAAATTATAAATTAATTCGCCAGGTAGCCTATTGTTCTGGCAAATATGAGTCAGTAGTAGTTTGCTAAACTGTATTTTTTATGGATAATAAACGTAGGCATACTCTGTTCTTGCCAGGAAAAACTGGAGGAAATGAAACAAGTTCTTTCTGGTCTCTAATCTGGATTTGCGCAAGCTCCTTTCCGCGCCAATGCTGATGACTGGTCATTGGTCAACAATCAAGACGCACAACTTTTTGGTTCTGAAGCATGGATGAGAACTTAACAACCCTTGCAGGCACTGGGTTCCGAACAACAATGACAAAAAAATTATAAAAATTTTTACAATTACATTTTTGGGGAAATTATAGGCCTACCAACACTGAAAAGGGCACTTTGGAGACTGGAAGGGCAAAGGGGCATGTGCTCTGCACAGGTAAAGCCCTATCTGGGCACGTGCCTGATGTTAATGAAATTGAGCTTAAAGCTGCAATATGTAACTTTTTGGATGAACCGACCAAATTCACATGGAAATGTGTGTTTATAGATATGTCCTTCTCATTGAAAGCAAGTCTAAGAAGCGATAGATCTGTTCTATGTGCTCTATTTCTATGCTTCTCGTTCTTACGTTTTGTTTTTGTGTCTTTTACTTTCGGTTTTGTACACAACCTTCAAACAGCTGAAAATACAATATTTCTGGTTATTGAAAATATATTTCACAGCGGTTTATATGGTACAATGATTCTCTAGACTGTACTTGCTTGTTTTGTCACATAAAATTAAGCAATCTATTTGAATTTCAGCAACAAGGAAATTGCATTCTGCATAGTGCATCTTTAAGTGGTTTCAGTGTTGATTTCAGTGAGCTACCTGTGTTACTAAAGGCGACATTACCAGCTAATTATCCTTTTCTATAATCCGTTAAAACAAGAACAAAAAATCATATAATTCCACTTCAATTCACAATGGGCTTGGCAATGAAGTTACAGTTGAAGTCGGAAGTTTACATACACCTTAGCCAAATACATTTCAACTCAGTTTTTCACAATTCCTGGATTATAATCCTAGTAAAGATTCCCTGTTTTAGGTTAGTTAGGATCACCACTTTATTTTAAGAATGTGAAATGTCAGAATAATAGTATGGAGAATGATTTATTTCAGCTTTTATTTATTTCATCACATTCCCAGTGGGTCAGAAGTTTACATACACTCAATTAGTATTTGGTAGCATTGCCTTTAAATTGTTTAACTTGGGTCAAATGTTTCGGGTAGCCTTCCATAAGCTTCCCACAATAAGTTGGGTGAATTTTGGCTCATTCCTCCTGACAGAGCTGGTGTAACTGAGTCAGGTTTTTAGGCCTCCTTGCTTGCACACGCTTTTTCAGTTCTGCCCACACATTTTCTATAGGATTGAGGTCAGGGCTTTGTGATGGCCACTCCAGTACCTTGACTCTGTTGTCCTTAAGCCATTTTGCCACAACTTTGGAAGTATGCTTGGGGTCATTGTCCATTTGGAAGACCCATTTATGACCAGGCTTTAACTTCCTGACTGATGTCTTGAGATGTTGCTTCAATATATCCACATAATTTTCCTTCCTCATGATGCCATCTATTTTGTGAAGTGCATCAGTCCCTCCTGCAGCAAAGCACACCCACAGCATGATGCTGCCACCCCCGTTCTTCACGGTTCGGATGGTGTTCTTCGGCTTGCAAGCGTTCCCCTTTTTCCTCCAAACATAACGATGGTCATTATGGCCAAACGGTTCTATTTTAGTTTCATCAGACCAGAGGACATTTCTCCAAAAAGTACGATCTTTGTCCCCATGTGCAGTTGCAAACCGTAGTCTGGCTTTTTAATGGCAGTTTTGGAGCAGTGGCTTCTTCCTTGCTGAGCGGCCTTTCAGGTTATGTCGATATAGGACTTGTTTTACTGTGGATATAGATACTTTTGTACCTGTTTCCTCCTGCATCTTCAGAAGGTCCTTTGCTGTTGTTCTGGGATTGATTTGCACTTTTTGCACCAAAGTACGTTCATCTCTAGGAGACAGAATGCGTCTCCTTCCTGAGCGGTATGACGGCTGCATGGTCCCATGGTGTTTATACTTGCGTACTATTGTTTGTACAGATGAACATGGTACCTTCAGGTGTTTTGAAATTGCTCCCAAGGATGAACCAGACTTGTGGAGGTCTACAATTTTTTTCTGAGGTCTTGGCTGATTTCTTTTGATTTTCCCATGATGTCAAGCAAAGAGGCACTGAGTTTGAAGGTAGGCCTTGAAATACATCCACAGGTACACCTCCAATTGACTCAAATGATGTAAATTAGCCTATCAGAAGCTTCTAAAGCCATGACATCATTTTCTGGAATTTACCAAGCTGTTTAAAGGCACAGTCAACTTAGTGTATGTAAACCTCTGACCCACTTTAATTGTGATAGAGTGAATTATAAGTGAAATAATCAGTCTGTAAACAATTGTTGGAAAAATTATTGTGTCATGCACAAAGTAGATGTCATAACCGATTTGCCGAAACTATATTTTGTTTAACAGAAATTTGTGGAGTGGTTGAAAAAACGAGTTTTAATGACTCCAACCAAAGTGTATGTAAACTTCCGACTTCAACTCTATATCTACCACTGTCATTTACCCTTGAAAGCGCCTCTGCTACGGCATGTTTGTTTGTCTAAGGGACATTATGGCTTTTTAAATGCCGACACAAACCTTCTCTGGAGTTTCAAAGTGCCACAGAACTGGCATTTTACTTATCTGTAAAGTAATGGTGCTTCTGAAGCGGAACTAACGTCCATAACTAGGCGACCAGAACTGTCAATCAAATAATCTCGAGCTGCCCGCTTTCTCCCAAAAAAGTACTTTAAAGTTTGTTAAATACTGTGACTTACCAAGGCATTTAGTAGAAAGAAAATACATCTTCCTCTAGGAATCGACTCCTTCTAAGATTCAGTATTTTTGGAATGGAGGAGTCTGATTAGTTGCCGTACTTCTGAAAATACAAACACTTGCATCTTTCATAGCGAGCTAGCGAGGGATGGAGAGAGAGGGGAGGGGTACAGTATAGCCAGGTCGGCCACCAGGCAGATGGAGAACCGTACACTAGGCCTATCTATCGGCAATCAAAAGCTGTATCTCGCAATGGAATGCTGTGTTTTGCAATTTCAGTAAAGCAGGGCATATCATCAATGAATAGGCTAGGATATTCTACATGCAACATACCGAAGACTGAAAACACTAGCATCATTAACGAAGAGAAAGAGCAGGCGAGCCTGCTGTGATTTACATTTTGTGGGGAAAAAACTATTTTTCTGTTAGGGAATTTTGTTAAAGTTAACGATCCCAATTTAGTTTAAACGTTTAAATGTTCACACTCCTACCCCGTATCTCTGTTTCCAGATCAATAAACATCCATCGGTTCTTCTTCATTGTGGGCACCCTCTACCTGTACAGGTGTGTCACCATGTACATCACCACTCTGCCTGTTCCAGGGATGCACTTCCAATGCTCTCCAAAGGTTTGTATCCTTCCAAATCCAAGCCACAATATGCTGCAAGTTGCTAACACACTGTGACCTACCAGTGCCCACATCTATTTCCATAATTGATGTGTCATTGCTATTATAGCAGTGATCTGACTTTCTGGGCTATTGTTGCATATAAACATTACAGTTGTATCTTAACAACAAAACCCCCTTAAGGACAAACTCATCAGAAAGTGATCTAGTCCTTATTTTCAAGTTAACGCCCCCTAGTCCTCTTCACGATATATTGATCACATGAAAAATATAAAAATTATTATTCTGTTGCATGCGTGTATCATTTTAAAAGAGCTATTTTGAAACCGCTTGAGTGCTCATCAGGGTAGGCACGAGTTTCCTGTTTCTATTTTAGCTTCTCGCATTCTAACCCTGTGACCAAAGACCCAGAGGAAGAAGGGGTAAGGTTATACAGATGTAGCATGTGTGGTTTAAATGTGACTCATCTCAATACTATACTTCTCTTTTGAAATATCGAGGAATGGAAGTCAAAATGGTAGCCCCCCCCACCACAGAACAAAGTGGTGGGTGGGAGTTCAGTGTATACAAATGTTCCCACTCCCTCTGTTGCCCAAGGCCAGTGGGAGAGATGTGTACTGTTCCCTCCTTCAGGCCTCCACCTCTCCTCCCCTCCTCCTCTCTTCCCCGCCTCCTCTCTTTCCCTCCCAGCAACAGATGAAGGCCTTTCTGTGTACTGTCATGCCCTGGGCCTGGTTTCCTGTTCTAAACCTCTATCTGAAGAGGTTGTTTGGGAACTGGGAGGCTCCGATGAGGAGGATCATGAAACTGATTGCCGGCGGAGGCTTGTCAATCACTGACTCCCACACCATGTGTGGAGACTACCTGTATAACGGCCACATAGTCATTCTAACGCTAACTATCTCTTTATCAAAGAGTGTAAGTATTACATACACACGGCCATGCTTACGCTAACCTATCTCTTTATCAAAGGGTAAAAGAAGGCTACAGCTTTATCGTCATGCTGACGCTATCCTATCACTTTACTCTATTACTATAAGCTTCATTCCCTGTCAATTCTTTCACCTTTTCTCTGTTCTCCTCTCTTTCACAATCTGAGATTACCAGTTAGCTGTTTTCCACTGCTCAGTACAAAGGTTTTAGAATTGCAGAAACAACTTGCTCAATAAATAGTGAGATTAGCCGATTTCTTGTGTACATTTCTGTGTAAACATGTAGTTCAACTGTACTGTTGTGACATTAGCCATGTGGTTTATGCTGCAGTGACGTCTAGTGGATGGTTGTAAAAGTCTGGTTTGAAAGACTACACAGTATTATGTAAATGCATTTCATTGTTGATTATTGAAACAAAACCATGGCTCTGTCGTAGCCGGCCACGACCGTGAGGCCCATGGGGCGGCGCACAATCGGCCCAGCGTTGTCCAGGGTAGGGGAGGGAATGGCCGGTAGGGATGTAGCTCAGTTGGTAGAGCATGGCGTTTGCAACACCAGGGTTGTGGGTTCGATTCCCATGGGGAGCCAGTATGAAAAAATAATGTATGCACTCATTAACTGCAAGTCGCTCTGGATAAGAGTGTCTGCTAAATGATTAAGAATGTTGTAAAAAATGTATCTCCTTATATTCCATTAAACCTTCACTGTTTCTCTCTGTTGTAGGATTCCCCTAAGAGGTTTTGGTGGTACCACTGGTTTTGCTGGACTCTGAGTGCAGTGGGCATCTTCTGCATCCTGCAGGCCCATGACCACTACACTGTGGATGTGGTGGTGGCCTACAATCTCACAACACGCCTCTTCTGGTGGTACCACACCCTGGCCAACCAGCAGGTGGGGGGCTAACACATACAGTACCAGTCGACAGTTTGGACACGCCTACTCATTCAAGGGTTTTTCTTTATTTTTTACTATTTTCTACATTGTAGAATAATAATGAAGACATCAAAACTATGAAATAACACATATGGAATCATGTAGTAACCAAATAAGTGTTAAACAAATCAAAATATATTTTATATTTGAGATTCTTCAAATAGCCACCCTTTGCCTTGAAGACAGCTTTTCACACTCTTGATGTATTCACTATTATCCTACAATGTAAAAAATAGTAAAAAATAAAGAAAAACCCTTGAATGAGTAGGTGTGTCCAAATTTTTGACTGGTAGTGTACATATTTTTATTTTTATTTATCTGATGTTGATGTAGCTTATTCTGTGAAGTTCCATTTATTTATTTTATCTGTTTTGTTATCATTCAGGCGCTGAAAGAGACATCCCAGAGCAACCTGTTCTCCAGAGTCTGGTGGTATCGACAGTTTCAGTACTTTGAGGAGAACGTCAAGGGTATTGTCCCTCGGAATTATCAGCTGCCGTGGTCATCATGGCGATCGTCTTCCTGGAGCCGGTGGATGAAGTACAGCAGACTGGACACCCAGTGACCCAGGTCAAGTGACAGGGGTGGGAGAGACCAAGAGATTTCCTGAAGTTGTGATCTTCTGAAAGAAAAGATGGCGTCGCATCATGTCACCAAGCCAGTGCTGTTCCATTCACCTGTAGGGCTCATATCAGTCAAACCACAGTCCAACTGGTTAGGACTGTGACCCTAGTCTTACTTTAGCTCTCTAAATCATTTTATTTTGGAAAAGTTGATCATCAATTTTTTTCTTGGGACACTTTGCAATTGCTGCTTTGTCTGCAGCAGGTCTGGCTAATATTTCAATATTATATTGAAATTATTTTTGTTCTGTTTGACCATGGCTGTAACAAGTAGTTTAGACTTTTGTTTTCTCTGCAAATAAATGTTTTTGCAATTCTGGTCCAATAAGGTCTACCAAGTGCAAATCATGTCACTGAAATGTTTATTTGATCACCAAAATGCCATACGCTGTCTTGGAGAGTTTTAAATGAAAAACATTATTTCTTTTTTAACAAATTACTTTTTTGTCAAATAAAACTTTAAAATGGTGCAATTTCTTGGGGACTTTTCTAACAATTTCAATAACTTCAAAACGAGTGATGGCCAAAAAAAGATTTTTTAGATTTGTACCTTTTTCAAGATGGAACACTAAAAGCTGAATCATCTGTGGAATTTATATTTTTTCCAGTGCCTTCCTTAGCTTGATTGTACTGTGTTCCTCTGCCTCTTGCGTGTCAGTCTGGCTGTCCACAAGGTGCCATGAGGCGATTCCTAATGATCGTTCACGTCTTCTTTGCATGAATGTAAGAATAATAATGCCAGCCTTATATGATAATTGATCTTGTCAAAACAAAAAACTGTGAGACGAGTGAAATGTCCTGTCTATTTATTTATGTTTTTATATGTAATACGTTTTTCCACAGCCGGTCAGTGCTGTTATAGCAGTTAACAAAGGACCGTTAAGTTGTTTGGTAATGTCCTAATTACTTCCTGATCCTTAGCCAGTCTTGACCGTGTTCTAACCATGTTCCAATCCTATTCCAACCATGTCCCTGCAAGACAGTGGTGCCGTGCGTAACTGCAGTCACAGGTTTTCAGTCCTTTGTAACATGTCACTTTAAAGCTTAACACTTTAAAGCTCATTGACAGAATGATCAAAACCCTCTGGCCCTCAAGGACCGGACTGGAGTTGTGCAGTACACCTACAAATCTTTGTAAGAGATACTGAGCCCCTCTCCTGTCAAATGGTGTTCTCCATACAGACCCACACAATGCATCTTGCTGGCTGGGGTAGACTTGGCCAATAGACGAGTGTTTTCCAGTATGCATAATATCTTACTGATAAAGATACAAATTATTGGGATTATTTATCGTCTCTTATCTACCTACATGTTGATCTTAATGCGGTTTAGTGGCGGTATGCCATCTCTGAACTTTGGTAAATGTATAGGGCTTTTTAATGTTGACTTGTTTGAGGCAAAGTTTCTGAGAGTACAATTTGAGGTTAACTTGAGGTTGAATGGGGATGTTGGCAGTTATGATCATATATTAGTACTGTCCTGAATTACATTGGCTGGCAAGTTTGTGCAAAACCAAAAATTATTTAGTCACAACTACCTACTAAAGAAACTGGCCAATTGTACAAAGATAATGGGGTTATCAAGTGGGCGAGAGGGCCAAATGCACAATACTGTGGATGTAATGTACAGCCAAATCCACACAACAGACAACGTACTGATTACCATGAATGTGAAAATGTTCTCTGTTGGTCCTGGATACACATGTGCATTAAAATGATTTGTGTTACCATTCCAACAGCACAACATGTTTTCTCTGTAGTAGGGCTGGAAACAGGTTATGAAATGACCTCGGTTCAGCTGTCTGACTGGAGAGACTGAGCTGGTAATAACATTGCACTTTCTGTTATTAAAAAAACATGCAACATGGCCCAGTTAAATGGAGCTGAATGCCGAAACTGGACAGGTTAATATCATGGACCTCAGTTGTAGTTATTCTTTGAAAAGAGTTCTAGCCTCTAATCAGTGTTGTACATTTTATGCCATGGTGTTTTCCTCTGGTGTCCCAAAGAGTAGCAGTACTAAATAGATAATGACGACATCATTTCAATGCTGAATTGATATGCTATTTGTTCTAATAATTAATGTCTTGAACTCAAAAGTAATTTTGCCTGTTAGCTTGAGGAGGCAGCGGGGGTTGTTTGTCCTCCAAAAAAAGTTTGTGACACCTTAGTTGAAGGGGTATAAGACCATCTGTTTATGGCTATATTAAAAGTACATCAACGTTAATGAGTTTAGCATGTACCCATGTGACATATAGACATACAATGCTGGTCTCTCATTGACAGCTTAAGCATTGTCAGGAAAGTTTAGGAATATGATTGTGAAGATCAGATATCTCTATGCAGGTATTGATGTAAACCACTCTAAAGCCATCTACAGTGCCTTCAGAAATAATTCACACCCCTTGATTTTTTTTATCCAGATGTTGTTGTGTTACAGGCTGAATTTTAAATGGTGTAAATTGAGATGTTGTGTCACCGGCCTACACACAATACCCCATAATGTAAAAGTGGAATTATGTTTTTAGAAATTAATTAAAAAGTTAGTCAATAAGTATTCAACCCCTTTGTTATGGCAAGGCTAAATAAGTTCAGGAGTAAAAATGTGCTTAACAAGTCACATAAGTTGCATGGACTCACTGTGTGCAATAATAGTGTTTAACATGATTTTTGAATGACTATCTCATCTCTGTACACCATGCATACAATCATACAAGAGATGCATGCAAGAGGATTATATCTGGGAGGTTTTCAAATAAAACAGTTTATTATTCAGTATTTTAGCAGTGTCCTCTATCCATTATTGGAAGCTGTGTCCAAAGACGGACCCCAGTAGAAGAAGATTGTTGTGGTCTTATGTCCCAGCCGGACAAAGATTGGGGCGTAACAGTCCTTGTGTGAAAATGTTGCAATGCACTGAAGGGGGTGCTATTGCACAAATATTCAGATAACTTTTCAACATTCGGTACCTCCACAACCTATGGGCTTTCCTCTTCAATGATTGTGTACATTTCTATGAATAATGGGTGTGGTCTTAAGAACAGATGGTATGGATTTGTTTGGGGATGAGATGTAAACCTTATTGCTGAACAACCTTGTTCTTTGGGGTGAATATAAAATAACCCTGACTGTATGATGTATATGCCCATCTGAGTGAAATAAATTGGTTGTAAATTCTAGGTGATGGTTGAGTTTTCATAACCTCCAGTGTAGTTCTAATGGCCAGTGAAAAACTGGAGAACTCTAAAGTGTAATTCGCTGAATTAAATAAGCAGCAGATTATATTTATCTCAAGTGCTGGGTCCTCGGCTCACTCAAGTATTTGCTGGCAGTCTGGAGAGATTGTGAGACCTGAAATTGCAAGACCTGAAATATTAAGAGAAACTGTCCATAAAGACATTGTGTATTTTCTGGCATAGTGCACTTTGGGCCAGTCTGTCCTCCAATCTGGCCACTCTACTGTCCACAGTTGTCATGTCATCTACCAAAATATACAGTAATTCTACACGTATAGTGTATATGGTAATTGAATAATGGGTTGGATGCATACACAACTTTTACCATCTCAAAAGCTATGCTGTGTACACCCATATTTGCAAATCATCTTGAATGATACAAAGATTACTTAAAAGTGATCTGTTACACAATGCTACAATCACAGCATGATCAACAGGTGTCAAACTAACTACTTGTGTGTACAATTACATAACCTGACCCTAAAACTGTCTGATACTAACATGGCCGGAATAAACCAATACTAAAAACAACCTATATGAAGCCATTACACTGTGCTGTCAGATCTGCCCTTCCTTTCATCAAGATGCTGCCAAGGCAAACAACACTCTGCTGGAGGAGTTCACAAAGACATTATATTCCAAGTAGTGGTGCATTCTCAAGCCATAATACCAAACTTAGTCTGGGACCACATTCTTGGATCACTAATGGAGAGAGAAACCTATTAATGGATGACTGGAAAGAAGGTATCATGGGAAAATAAGATTTGTGGGTCTAAACTTCCATGGGGCTACTTTAGTGACCATCTGCACTCTGTGTCCTTATTCCTCTAAGTGTGTCTCGATAGTCTAGAGCAGGGTTTCCCAAACTCGGTCCTGGGGTCCCACCTGGGTGCACGTTTTTTTTTTTTGCGCTAGCACTAGACAGCTGATTGAAGACCCTGTTCTAGAGCAGGGATAGGCAACTTTGATGTGGGTGGGCCACACACATCTTGCGAGCAAAACATTTTAGCGGCCTTCTTGATAACTGTCTTGGATTTTCTTACACAGGGACACTCAAAGTCAATCTTAAATCAATCATTGTTTATTGTCAGCGCGCTGGAGAGGATCCAACAAACTTGATGCACCATAGTGAATGTCTGTCAGGAGCTCTAACGGGGCAGGCCCGTCAGTTCCCTTATATACTGACAAGTTATATTAGCATGACTTAGCTTTTTCATCATTCCTAATTAATGTTTACTTCATTCATGTGACGACCAATACTGGGTCATGCATGTGACAGACCAATACCTGATGAGGCTTCTTCTCTCTAAGCTGAGACCTTGAAACTGAGATATCCCTTTCTCTAAACAAGGTCCTGGGCGTACTGCCAAATTGCAGATACTGATAGTGAGGATTCGTTCAATCAGTCACTTTTATGAACACAGAAACTGGTTTATAGAAAAGCACAAACAGAACACAGAAATGGGATATTAGAAAAGCACAAACATACACATTTCCATCACACAGTGAAGAGAAAACATTTAAGTTTTAGAGTTAATTTCCTGCAATTCTACACATTTTTCCATGGGGTGTAGAGAAAATGTTGAAGTTTCACAGCAAGTTTTCTGCAATTCTACACATTTTGGCATGGGGCAGGTAGAAAACAATGAGCAGTTTTACAGACAATTTCGTGCAATAATAAAAAATAAAAAAACATAGGGTGGAGAC